GGAGGGAGGGAGAGAGGGAGAGGAGAAATGGAGAAGAGACAGAGAAGAAACAAGAAAATCGGCTTCAGGTTTGAAACTTTACCAGCGACGAGAGTAAAGTTTCGATTGTTCGTTTGTCTTCTTTTCTCTGTTTCGCAACGTAACGCAGCAGTCTCAGTCTATTATAATAAAAATTCACGATGTAACGCACACCTCTGATTATCGGGAGGTTACCTGTGTAATTTGGGGCGGGGGGTATAATTAATTCGCAGTCACCTTGTGGGATTAAATAATTCATCGATTACTTCGGGTTTTTATATATAGTATAGCTATATATAAAAAAGAAGAAGAGGCGTAACGCTGCGTTTAATCGTGTAACAAAGTAGTTTGACGAATTTTCGGTAAATCATTGATGAGCATAAATTCGTTCTAGCTTACGGGGAAGGGGATAACGTTTGTTACACAATGAAACCGCTAATTAAAACGGGGAACATGTATAGGTGAGATGACGTTCTAATACAACGGTCGAAATACCGTTGAAAAGTATAGAATTAATTAATCCTACTGACCGAAGGCCGATATGTAATAGAAATATGACGTTCGAAATTTGAAACACCGTGCCTATACATGTTACGCTTACGTCTGTACACTGCAATAATACACAAATCAGCTAAACCGCGAATCGCAACTTAATTTATCGTTAATTTCATGCTGAAACACGCCGCGCCTTTAGATTATTATTAAACGGTCGACCCGCGTGACGATCGGTTATGTACAATCGTTTTACTTTCTAAATCATAAATAATGAACGAAAGTATCGCTTACTTAAACAAGAACGAATATTAACCGTTTGCACTCGACAGCCGTAAAATTCACAAAAATTCGATATTCGATATCAACCTTTACATCTATAGAATCTAATTAATTCGACATTAAATATTCAAAGAAAATCCTCCTATTCCTTGCTTCGGGTTTCATTTCCATCGAGTACGATCTACGATTTAATCAATATTTCATTAGAGTTCCAGTGCAAAGGGTTAATAATCTTTGTAAAAATTTATCATAATTTGTTTTCGTTCCTCTTCTCTTCTCTCCTCTCCTCTCCTCTCCTCTCCTCTTCCTCTTCCTCTTCCTCTTCCTCTTCTCTTCTCTTCTCTTCTCTTCTCTTCTCTTCTCTTCTCTTCTCTTCTCTTCTCTTCTCTTCTCTTCTCTCCTCTTCACTCCTCTTCTCTTCTCTTTTGTATGATTTGAATGGAAATCATGCTGTAGCGTAGACGAGAGCTACGTCGAATCGAATCGAATCCACCATGGAAATCGAATGAATAAATAACAGGCAACGCCACAGAGTGCTTCGTTATCGCAACTTCGACGATCTATTGCTCTTTCGCACTTTTCGAAATATATAGGGTGTATTGCATGAAGTACTTTCGGATGTTTTCTCTAAAACTGTTTGTTTTCTTTAAAAATTCTTGTTTACAATGACAGAGGGTCGGACGGGCGAGGACCTCCATTTTTGTTTTCTATGGAATGGCGTACGATGGAACCTCTGCCGTGTCCGTTTAAAAAAATTTCAACGAAACAATGGTATTTTTGCTTCACGCTACGCAAAGAATGTTCTTTTCTTTCCTTTTTAGCGTCGTCGCTACCCAACCTCCTCCCGAGCACGTCGAAACGACACCGATACTTTAGGTTTCTCGCATCAAAGCGCCGAAACGACGTATTCTTCCCAACGGTTTCATGCGAGATCACGCGAATCGGGCATTTCGACGGAGCGTTCGGTGGAGCGTTGCGGTTTAGAATTCCCGAGGAAACACAGTATATCGCTTTATGTGATACACCTTATATATGTACGTATGTATGTA